AGAATTTTATTTTGAAAACAAAGGAATATGTGTGCCAACACTCTAGTAGCCTTGAATTAATTTGTATTCTTATTTAAATTAAAATCGTCTAGTTTTGATTCAAATTTCGTCTAATTCGCTATTCAGTTGAATTTCTTGTTATCTTGAATTTGGTTTCGATTTAATTTTAGTATACATATATTTGCTTTTCATTAGCATTTGATTAATTTTCTTCTTATTAAAATTTTCCTCGTTTATGATTTTGATTTAAAATTTGACACATTTGATATTTATTTTAATTTTACTTATTTAATTATTAATTTAAATTATCCAAAACACTTATAATATTAATAAATTATTTTAATTTTTATGATTTTAAATTCACTTTACTTTCTTTGAATTGATATATCCATTTGAATTTCTTTGATTTTATGTTGATATTTTAATTTTCCCGGTTTAATATTCACTTTAATTTTACCGTGTTTGATATTTATTTTAACTTCTCTGATTTGATTTTAATTTCAATTACCATTATTTGATAGGTATTTATCTTAACTTTCCGGATTTTGATTGTTTCTAGTTTAATAGTTATATTAATTTTAATTTAAGAATTAAATAATTGATTTTAATTTAAAGAAGTGAAAAAACTTTTATTATTTTCTAAACATTTTGTTCTGCAAATAGAAAAACAAATTAATTGAACAATATTAATATATAATAATTACAATAATTATTTATAGCTAATAAAGAAATTTTCTTTTTAAAAAAAAGAAAACTCATATATAATAGTAAATAAATATTTAGTTCACGTTAATCATGTTTTTTAATCTATATTCTATTTTTGTTTCGCAATATCGGGATTAACGTATAGTTCAAAAGATCATGGTAATTAATAAATCATTCGATATTTCATTTATTCGATATAAAAGGGAATAATTTTTGTCATTTATTAAAAAAAAATAATTGCAAATTAGAAATTTTTATTATAATACAAAATTTATTATCCATGTTGTATATTTATAATTTCTATAATTATATTCAAGTAAATATTTTTTAACTGTAATATCAAAGGCGATTAATTAAAATTTATTTATTTATTTAATATATTATTTATTAATAATAAATATATTATGTTTCAGCTTTCCTGGTGCTTGGAATACAAAACTTCGAATTGCAGTTTTGGTGAGTACATATAAATTTTACAATATTTTTTTTTTGGATAAAAAAATAGGCTTAGAGATAAGTTATTAATTATTATGTTGATTGTTCATGTGTATATATATTTTCTCTAATTTGGAATATATATATATATATATATATATAGTGAAACGTTGAAAGTCGTTAGCGTATTCATGGGTTTATGGGACAATTAACCCTTTGAGGGACAGTTTAATTATAGAAGCGATTAAACATCTTAACATATAAACACATACCAAGGCAAAGGCATACGAAACGCGACATGGCAGTGAGCGGCTATACCAATTAACATACTAATAACGCGCGCCGCTTTCGAGGGTAGTCGAGGTGCGAAAGACGAAAGGAAACTTGGGGAGAGGAGAGAAAGAGAGGGATGATGGTGTATAGCATAAATCCCAAATGTATGTGCGCGTGCCTCTTGTTAAACTTACTTAAAATCCCCTCAAGGTTTATTGCAAAAAAAAAAAATAAATAAAATAAATTCTCTATACTTAAAGGAAAAAACACCCTCAAAGTGCATCTTGTATACATTAAAATAATTAAAATTTCAGGTACACACATATTACTTATTCATTCTTTAAGTGACATTTTTTTTTTTTTACTTCAGTTCACATTTATAAAATAGTGTCTTTCTAATTAAAAAATTTTATCTGCAATAATTAACAAAAAAGAAACATTAATTAAAGAAGAAGAAAAATGAAAAACAAAAAAATTAGCCAATTTTTACTATATACTTCCAAAAGTAAAGCCGTAATTTCTACTTTCGAAAATAGTAAAAAAAAAAAATACAAATAATTAAATTTAATTAAAAAATTTAGTTTCTGAGATATTAATAAACAAAGTTTGAATTGTGAAAATCAATGTTCATTGGGTAATAAATTTTCATTTGTATAAGAAGTTTTAATTTTGTGATTCGAGTGAGTTAACTAGTAATTTTTGTGATTCGTGTTGTAATATTGCGAGTCTACACGCAAGCGGTAATCCGAGATATATATATATATATATATATAAATGTTATGGCGGTGTGCGCGCAGCGTGTGTGGTGACTGCTTTTCATTTAATTAGGTAATTATAATGTTTATTTAATTAATATAACTAGGACGGCCCAGGTAAAGGTGTTTGGGTAATGCCGCTATTACTCCTGGCGTGTTGAATTTAATGACATCCATTAACAAACGTTTACATTAACGTTAATGATCATGCGCGAGTCCGTTTCGCGAGATTTCCAATTACGAGAGTTGCAAATAAATAAAAAAAAAGTGAGAGAGAGAGAGAGAGAGAGACGTTTCATCCGCTCCATTAACTGAAGTCAAAAAGGCCATGCTTTGCGGGATTGGTCGTTTTAAAAACTTGTGGAATGTGTTAGTTACCGTTCCTTTCAAGTTGTCTTTTAAAGTTTTTTTTTTTTTTTTTTTTTTTTCTCATTTTGTTTCTTTCCTCCTTTGTCACTTGATCGGCACGATCTATTCCATGGTCTCGATCATTTATAGGCATGATATAGTCTGGAAACATGGAATCTTGTTTTTATATTCTCGTTCTCTTCACAAAGTTTAAATTCATTGTTAAAAAGGATTGATCTTTTCACGTTATGGTCTTGAATTCCCATTTACTTTTTTTTTTTTTTTTTTCATTTTTACACTCAGAAAAAAGATTTCTTTGATTCAAAGAAATCAATTTCTTTGATGAATTTTTCTTTGATACAAGGAAAATTCATTTTTTTCAAATAAATTATCGTTTGATTAAAAAAGAAATTATCTTCGTTTCAAAGAAATTTTTTTTATTTAATTCAAATAAATGTTTGTATGACTCTATATCAGTTTTAGAATTTCTTTGATTTGATACACAAATTTCTTAGAAACTACTCTCTAAATCTGAATTAGTAAAAATGTTTACTAATTTGAATTAGTGACTCACTTTTTGCTTCTGAATTAGTTAAATTTTACTAATTGTTAGTAAAAGTTACTAATAATTAGTAAAATTTAACTAATTCAGAAGCAAAAAGTGAGTTACTAATTCAAATTAGTAAACATTTTTATTAATTCAGATTTAGAGAGTAGTTTCAAAAAAATTTGTGTATTAAATCAAAGAAATTCTAAAATTGATATAGAGTCAAAGAAACATTTATTTGAATTAAATAAAAAAATTTCTTTGAAAATTTGAAATTTTACTAATTATTAGTAACTTTTACTAACAATTAGTAAAATTTAACTAATTCAGAAGCAAAAAAAAAGTGAGTTACTAATTCAAATTAGTAAACATTTTTACTAATTTAGATTTAGAGAGTAAGAAGCTTTTTTTGTTTCAAAGAAAACAATTCAGAGAAATTACTTTCTTTAAATGAAAGAAATCTTTTCTCTGCGTGTGTATATTTAAGTTTAATGCATATAAATGTTAATATTAAATCGTTTTCTTTTTCAAAAAACGCGAAATTTCTCTTTAACTCGGAAAATTTTTTTTTTTTAAAAACTTTTTTTTTATTCATTCTTCCAAATGAATTGAATATACTTGGATAGTACTTCACTTTTTTTTTAATAAATCAAATTTATTTTTCGTCAAAGGGATTTAGTAATTAAAAACGCGAACCTTCAGTAAAAGTATACTCAGTTTTGTTAAATTTTTTTTTTTTTTTGAAATTAAATTAATTTACTTTTTTTTAAACCGAAAGAAAAAGTATAAAATATATACAAAGTAATGTGAAAAATGTAAAAGTTTCAAAGGCTTTTGAAGTGTTAATTTTTGCAGAAAAAAAAATTGCAAATATTTTCTCTCTAAATCTGAATAAGTGAAATTTCACTTAAAATGTGTCAAAAGTCTTCCACGTAGAAAAATAAGTGTATATGCACTTTTAAATAAGTGGTTTTCACTCAAAAATAACTGAAGTTTCACTTATTTTTAAGTGCATATACACTTATTTTTCTACGTGGAAGACTTTTGACACATTTTAAGTGAAATTTCACTTATTCAGATTTAGAGAATTCATTTGCGAATATTGGACGGCAACATTGATTATGTTCGGGGCAATATTGCCAAGCAATATTTAGGTAACATTGCCTGGAAATATTTGAGTTAATATTATGAGACAAAAGTTTTGAACGTTCAAATGAACGGAAATTTTTTTTTGCAATTTCTTTAATTACTAATTTTATTACAAAATATTTGTTTTAATTATCTAAAAAGAAGTTATATTAATTTAATAATTGTTTAATTTATTGTTCTATTTTATATTGTCATCATAATTTTTAATAATTTATAGATTGGAAAAAATATTTTTTTCATTTGAACGTTCAGAACTTTTGGCACATTTCATATTCCATTGAAAAGAATTATAATTCAGCTTCGTAATTTTTTTTTTGGATAGAATTTTTTTCTTATTTCATAATTTAGATTTGAATTAATCCAAAACCTTTCGAATACCAATTGAAATTATTTGGTTTTATGAAAATATTATTTTTATTGTAATTTTTGCACGAAAGTAAATAGAAGATTTTGGGGGATAAAATCAGTAAAAAATGAAAGAATTTGAAAATTGCAATTATCAGCTCTTTTATTGAGATGATATTGAATGACCTTGGAGCCATGGACCATTCTGCTCTCGCAGGGATATTGCACATATATATATATATATATATATATATATATATATATATAGCGTTGCTCCTTGATTAGATTCGCCAATTCTTTGGGTAGTTGGTGCAACCACGAAGCCATTCTCGCACTTTTCGCAGCCACCTCGTCGCGAAATAAAAGACGGAGACACGCGTCGTTCATCGAGGAGCGCACGCGCCAAGATTTGTGACGTCATCGGCTGAAGAGCGACGTCCGCTTCGCGCGTTTCATTCCGAGTTGGATTCCCGGTGCGGTTGGATATATTCGCGATAATTTCAAACAACTCGTGTATATATACTTTTACTTTTCTATTATAGATTGTATGTGCCGCGAGAATAGTTTACCGGTTTTTGTTTTTATCAGCAAATTTTTTTTTTTTTAATCATTTAACTGTATTTGATGACACTATTTCATTAATCCCAGTTTGTGATTGATCATCATCAAAAATCAAGTGTTCTTCTTCTCCTATTAAATTGGATATTACAATTAATAAAGAAGATTTCCTGTGATTTTTCAAAAAAAAAAAAAGTTCAAGTGACTTAATTTTTTAACAACTATATATAATTTTTTGTTTCTAATCCATTATTTGAGGATTAACCTGAGGAATCTTCAATATTTGGGTGAGATGATCTTCTTTATTATTTTTAGTTGATTCATTTGTTGTTTATATATATATATATTCTCTGCCAGAGGGGGTTTTTGTTGAAGATTATAAAATTTTATATTTTAAGAGAAAATAAGAAGAGGATAGGGTAAAAATGAGTGTAAGATGATATTGCTCTAAGGGTTTGATGCCGTGCAGGTAATATATTTTTGTCAGGATCTTATCAAGATTGTTGTAAAATGGGATTTTTCGTCGCAAAAAATTGTTATAACATTGTGAATTACCTATATATAAGAAATTGTTTTGTCAAATGAAATCTTTATGAAGCAATTTTTGTGAAATTGGATTTTCAATGAGAAAATTGGTTGTAAAATTTTGATCATTAATAAGAAAATTATTAAATTGAATCTCTAACAAGGTTTTGGAGCTTTTGATATGTTGAAGCTGTTTTAATTTTTAATAAAAATCCATCGACGAAGTATTGTTGTAATCTTGAACCTTAGTTGTCATTTATTAATCTAAAAGATGTTTAATTTTGAGCAGATTAATCTTTTGGATCTTTAACTAAATGTTACTGTAGCTTTTGATCTCTTAACAAGATTTTGAAACAAAAATTCCTTATATGATTTTAAACAGAGATTTAGAAAAAAATTATTGTTAGAAAGAACAATAAGATTTTTCTAAAGAGGGCATTCTGTAAAAGAGATGCTGTATACATGTATAAGGATGTTCTAAACGGGAATGTTTTTTTAGAAGGAACTTCTTCTCTCAATAAGGATGTTCTATCTTTGGCTCTTCTATACGGTGCAAAAAAAAAAAGAAGGCTATTCTTTAGAAGTTTCTTCCTTTGAAGAAGATTGTTTTTAAAAAGAGGTTTTCAAAGCCGTTTATATACATAAACAACCTAATGGAATAAAGTACTAAAAAAAAATTTTTTTAAGGACATACAAGAATCGATACAGAATGAATGGAAATAACTTTTCTTCTTGTCATATATATTCGATTATTTCTCATTAAAAAAAAAACAATAGAATTGAAATTGAAACCACTCTATCGATTAAAAAGACTGTAAACTAAAATTATAAATAATCTTAATTATAAATTTGATTATTTTAAATTCAATAGACTTTGTTCGAAACAAAAGTAATTTTAATAAATTCTAATTTGATCAATTAACATTGTATTTACAAAGCAAACAAATATTAAAGTAATTAGAATTTGGTCATCAGTAGATATATTTTGCAATATTTATTTGACACTGAAATTAGAAAAATGATTTTGAATGATTTTTTTGTTGTTGTTGAAGAATTGAACATTTTGGTGAAAAAGATTGCGCATGCTCGATGCTAATGACCAATGTCGCATTGGCAACATCGTAATAACGAACCAATCAGTGAGATTCTATAACTAGCAAACTCGCCTATAATTCGTTAACTAGAAGCTGTATCCGGCTAATTAACAATGCTATTTGATTGGCACCTTTCACACAATGATTGTCACTGTTCATATATAATTATATTCTCTCTCCCCCTCTCTCTACTATTAATCATTGAAACTTCTGACTTCCATATAAATACAATGATTGCATTTAGTGTACTAATTATTATTTATTATCGAACATTTCAAACAGGAGCTTATTTTAAATAGAATTTAAAAAACACCTTAAACTTTCATTTATACGTTATAAGTAAGAAACTAATGCAATTATAATGGAAATTAATTTGCTGAAATTTGTTATTTATTTCATTATTATTTCATTATTATTTCATTATTGACTTAATTATTTTATTAATTTCAAAATTTCAATTAAATTATCTAATAATTAATTTCTATTTATTATCTGCTGTCGTTAATTATCATTTAATTATTTTTTTTTTGAAATTATATTCGCGCGCACAGTATAAACAAGTCATTATAAAATGATAAGAATGTGTTCAATCGTATTTGAATAATTGAAGGTCAAAACAAAAATGGATATGGTTCATTAAGACGGGCGTGACTGTTTTTTCCCCCTTTTAATTTAATTCGATTTAAAAAGTCGAATGTGCTCTTAGTTCGCAGAGTTCGTATTTAATGTGATCTGTTTGGCTCTCTCTCTCTCTCTTTCTTATTGCTGCTGGTATAATAATTGGGAGCGCCTTAATCGCCGTGCACACACATCAGCGATCGATGACCGTTTGTAATTATATTGCCTCGCCTAAGGTGCCGAAAGAGAGACGACTGCTTTTAGAGAGAATGAAAAAACAAACATTAATTGTCCATAATCATTTCTCATTAATGCGCGCATCTTGTGTACAAAAATGTTTTTTTGTAGCATTAACCAAAGAGAAACGATTTTTAAAAATCTGCATTGTATATTTTAAAAACGATTTTAAATTGAAAGTAGATTTTTCACGAATTGGAGTAACTTTTAGACGCATAGCGGCGAAAAATGGTACTAGGAAAGACCTCAGCGAAGATAAAAATCATTGTAGGTTATGTTTATGATTAAAGGAAAATAGATAAAGTGAATTAAACCAGTTTTTCTTTCCATTGAAAATAAAAATTGATTTTAATTTTAAATAATTTAATAAAGTAATTTTAAAACCTATCATAAACTTAACCTATAATTTTTTGCTTCTTTGAATTCAAGCGCTTTTTGGAATTTATTTTCTATTTTACATATCGTTAAATGTTATAATAATAATAATTTTTGTTTCTTCATATGGAATTTTGCAGGATTCCTCACGTCAATATATATATATGCGTGTGTATTTTCGAGGCGCTCGAGAAATTATCAGAGCGCGATAAAGAGCGCGTTTTATATACCCCTTTTCAACGACGATCCGCGCCTTTTCGCAGCCTTTACTAATTGAACCGACGACGAGAACGCTGAGCGCAATTAGCGAATTAATCTGCGATAAATTAGCGCGTCACCAGATCACTCTCTCTCTCTCTCTCTCTTTTTTTTTCTCTCGCTCCTTTTTTTTCGCTCTCGCTCTCCTCTAACCCGTCCTCTTGAACTTTGCTTTTCTCTTTCTCACGGAGCAACCGCGCGCGGCTGATTCGAATCACCGATAACTTTAATTAACCGTTCTCTCCTTTGGTTAGTAGCTTCACTTCTTTTTCCAGAATCATCCACAGAAAACCAAAGGTAAATAACGCGCAATGAATCGACCATATAGATTGATTCGACGTAATCGAAGCTCTCGATTTCCTTTGCGATATACATTGAGCCGATTCGGTATATAAAAATATAAAACGTGATTTTCGAAATTATATATATATACGAATGGGAAAAAAAATAATAATAAAGTCATCTAGTTTATCGGGGTATTATTTTTCACTTTGGTAATTAAGATAAATTAATGCTCTCTAAATTTAAATCAATGAGGATTTCATTGAAATAAAATGTAGTTGGAATTCAGTAACTGAATTACTGAAAAACAGTCACATTTCACTGAAAATAATTCTTACTGATTTAAACTGACGTATCTGCATTATCATTAATTGGTAAAACAGATTTCAATCAGTAAAGAATTTTTATTAATTTTCAGTGAAATATATCATTGAATTTCAGTGGAAATTTTCCTAAAGTAATTCAATTGCTAAATTCCATCTATTTCAAATGCAAAAAAAAATATTTACCTAGAACAGCGGTAAGTTTTTTTGGAACAGCGATTTATTTCTTCAAAATAGCGATAACTTTCGCAGTTTTAATAAAATATATCGCTGATCTAGGTAAAGATTTTTTTGCATGAATTATGTCAATGTTTTTATATTATCACATTTATTTTTTTGTCCCCGTAAAGTAATTTTTAAATATATTTATAGAATTGGAAAAAGTTTTGAATATAAAATGAGTATATATATATATATGTTATATTATACTTCGCGTGTCAACTTGTCTATATATATGCATACACATATATATATACATTATAAATGAAAAATTACAGCCAATATAATATGAATAATAAAGTAACGTTATTTTCTATTTAATTTGCATTAAAAATTTTTAATGACTTGTAAAAATGTCAATTATATCTTGATTTAAAATTTATATATTATAAAGCGTGAGTTTTATATTATTCGAGTTTGATGTGTATAATTTGAAAATTAATTTCCTTTTTTTTTGCTTTTAATTGCGACAAGAAATATTCAATTTTACTTTAAACTTTTTATTGTCCTTCATATAATGATATGTGGACATATATAAACCATTACACAAATTATTATCATTCAGTTGCATGATATCGTATATTGAATAGGAAATTATTTGCTTTACATAACAGGTTCGCCTCTCCTCTGTATTTTGCTTTTATTGCATATATATATATATATATATATAACGGATTAAAATTTAAATACAAACGAATAAAAATAGGAGGAAAATATATATTTTAATAAGTGAAATAGCATTGAAAATTTGTATTATCACAAATAACAACATCCACAATATTGCATCAATATTTCATGGCAATATTGCTGCAATATTTATTGGGACAATTTTTTTTCAATTGTTTAAGCATTTAAAATTAATTAATTTTATTGCTAGATAAATTTTTTCGCTTTAGTATCATTGAAAATTTTGTTAGGTTATGTAGGCAGAAAAGTGAGGTTAGGTGTCTTAAGTTAGATATAATGGTTAAGAAAAAATCGAATGAACAAAATTTCCAAAAAAAAAAGTTGCATTTTAATAAAAATTTTCTGTCTATAGAAAAAAAGGATTTTGATAACATAACCTAAAATAACTTGCGAAGAAATTATAATCAGTTTTTATTTGGTGCGAGTGACCCTTAAGTATATATATAAAGTCCAGTAGACGTATAGTTCTGACTTCGATTGATTTCATTCCGAGTTGTCGAAAGGGTCGGACCGACGTCAAGACGGGTCGGAAGTCAATCTTCGCGGCCGGAAGTGGTACACCCCTCCCCTTCATCCCTCCCCCAAACGGCCCCCTTTCCCAAGTTGCTTCCTCTCTATCCGCCGCAAGCTTATTCTCGCCCCGTTCACTCTCTGTCTCTCTTTCTCTCT